CATCAGGCACGGCGTGCCTAGCTTCCAGGCACGGCGTGCCTGACCCTATTCTTCACTTTTCCTTCGTTTTCTTGCTCCGAATGCTCCCGGATGCCAATGAGGTCGATCCAACTGCTCTTTCTTCACCAGAATTTCGTCGTGAATCTCCCGGTGGCCTCCAAATCTTCCAAATCTTTCTCGAATGCCTTCAAATCCTTCCCGAATGCCTCTCAAGCGCTGATTGCCGGATTCTAACTTCTTCAAATCAACTCCAAATGCAATGAAACTCGATCCAACGCCTGCTAAACACAACTTGAGCCAAAATTGAGACTTGCAACGCCTTAAAGCCAAGAAAACCATCAAAATCCGACCCGAACACGCATCGAATGCGTGTCTAAATACGGACTTATCAGACTCCCCCACACTTAAGCTTTTGCTTGTCCTCAAGCAAATCAAACAACGGGACTTACGATAATCACCACACGGAATTTAAACTAGTTAGCATGCACACGTAGTTAAAGGGATATTCACAGGACAGACAATCTAAACCAATAAAATTCTTCCCTAAACTACACCTTTGTACTCAAGCTAAACTATTTGACACAATTATTCACAACATCCTCAAAGTAATGATAGCATACACAAATAAGCTAGCTACTGATCAGAAGGACTTGTGAATGTGATGGTGAATGGTTAATAATAATAGTCCCTTTATTTTGAGAGATAGGAATATTCTAACAAAAACTTAATGAATTCAGGAACTTCAGGGCTATTCTTAGGAACAAGGAACTTAGTAGGACACAAATTAGGAACAATCATCTAAACCTATGCAAAGAGTAGACATGATGTACAATTAAGCTAAACCGCCGCGGCACATTTGTGCTTTGACGTATACTTGAAGTGTGACACCACACCCGAACGTCCTTGAAAACTTGATTTTAAAATTCAAAGTTTATGTATTGGATTTCTGATTCCCAAACGATTGTAAAACGATTAATGTTTTACGTAATTAATGATCGATTATTGTACTGTTCGAACTCGTATATAAGTATCGGGCCTTATTAATAAATAAAAGAGCCTAACATTATCTAAATATTAATACATAACGTTTCAAGACAAGTTGAGGAAGGGCGGGCGGCCCAGATATTATTTTGGGCTCAACCCGCTAGAATAGCAAGTATTCGAGAATGGCGTCGTAGGCCCACTCGGGGGCGACCCACACGGCTTGTAGCCTAATAATATGAATGGCAAATGTCAAAATAAGTGATAGGATGATTTGAGAAGAATACAAATGCCTATAACCCCATCTTTGGCATTATTGAGCTAAATAATGGGAGTAGGGTTTTTCTTCTATAATATTCATCATGAAAATTATTGGGATGATCATACACATATTGGAGATCAATAATATGATGTAGAGAGTTGACTTGTTCCAAATAAATTAGAATGAGTACAAAGAGACATCTTATGACAAAGAGATCAAAAGTGAGACCCACCCATGTCTAAAAACATCTCATGGAGACCATACCAATTCATTTCACTCCACACAACTTATCCACCCTTATTGAAGGGTCTTGGACACTCCCTTAAGCCCCTCATTCGAACTCCCAAGGATAAGGGAGAAAGAGAGAGCCACACAACCAAGAAAGCAAGAGGAAGGGGAAGCTGCCGCAGGTTCGTTTTCCAGTGCGTAAGGTTACTTGTTTGCTTCATATCTCGAGTTATACACATCCAAATAAGGCGTGCGAGATACCCACAGAAAGCTCTCAAGACGAGGAATCCGTGAAGGTCTGGTTTGCATCAATCGGAGTAGTGGAAGGCTTTCAAATCGTCCGAGCAAAACACAACCTCGCGGAATACGTTTTTGTATTCAAAGTAAGTTTGAATCCAAAACCTTCCTCTCTATTGTCTAAACCATATAAATGATTGAAGAACTATTATACACTGATTGAAGTGTATAAAATGTTATTATAAAGTGACTTTAATTGTTGGAAAAGTTAGATACTAATCTAGACAAAACCTTGGAAGGTTAGGGAACGATTTCGTCGGGAAACACCCGTTCTAGGGACTGTTTTTGTGTCTTCGGTTAGGAGTTGAACTAGCACTTTGAAGAGGCTGTTTAACACTCAATTCCAAGCAAGGAATCAGTCCTCAATCTTTCTTGGCCGAGGCTTTGGTCATTGGATCGAGAAGGAAAGATTTAAAGCTCATTTGAGGTGAGGATGGCTGACTATATTGCTTATAATTTTTGGGTCAATTTCGTAAGATTACCTAAAGTATCTAAATGTGATTTTCATGGATTGTTAATGATTAATAATGCCTAAATGGGAATACCATTGCTTATGAGTAATTGAGGTATAATATGCAAATTGCGAATGAATTGAGTATGGATATGTGATTATAAGTATGATGGCATGATAGTTGAGTGAACTATGAATATGGTGATAAAATATACCTTGTTTCATGTAAGAATTCATGAACGGGTAAAAGTGATATTTTTATATTGGGAAGTGATTATATTTGAATTGGAAGATAAATTGAAATACACGGTGTGTCTATGGATTGAGAACTTGGTTGTTCTAAATTTATTCAACTAGTATTGAAATACTAGCCGAGATGTTAATATGAGAAACAATAGATTAACCCAATGAATTGGGTTGTGAGAAATTATACCTTGAGTAGTCCTAAGAGATACTTTAAGGTCGAGATGTGAAAGTTCTAGGTATAATAGGAGTAGGCCCCAAAGGCTACTCAATCTAAACCGATTCTAGGCATAGGAATTGCTTAGGGGTTGATTAACGTGACTAAGAGCGGGGCTCTAGCATGTTGAAATGGTAACTAAGAGCGGGGCTCTAGCACAATGTAGATGGACTAAGAGCGGGGCTCTAGCCGATGTAAGTCAACTAAGAGCGGGGCTCTAGAAAAATGTAGATGGACTAAGAGCGGGGCTCTAGCCAATGTAAATTAACTAAGAGCGGGGCTCTAGTATAGTGTAAATGGACTAAGAGCGGGGCTCTAGCCAATGTAGACAAATTAGGAGCGGGGCTCTAATATGATGTAGGGAGACTAGGAGCAAGGCTCTAGCACAATGTAGGGAGATTAAGAGCATGGCTCTAGCATGATATAGTAATATAACCGAGCGAGGTTCTATGATGTTTATTTTACGTAATAGGGAAATGCCCTATGACTATGAATACAAATTTACAGGAGGTTTATGACATTCGTGACCAATAGTCACGGGGGAAAAGGGGGATGGACTTTCAAAACACATATGGGCCTACGGGCCGACTACTTGACTATACATACAAAGTAAGTATATTTCCAAAGAGGGTAACCAAGGGTTATGGCCTATGATATAATATCACTCTATTTGAGGGTCTTGGAAATTGAAACATTGATTATACTTAGTATAGTTGTCATTGTACTTGTCAAATGCTTCCAAGTACTGACCTCCCCTTCACGGGGGAGGCCACCTCACAGTTTCAGGTAGAACTTGAAGGGTGCTACCATTGCCCGTTGCTCGGGAGATCCAAGGAGAGGAGACGTGGTTCGTGTTTCCTCCATATCCGTTTTAAAAACAATTATATTTAATGCTCATGGATACTATTTTCTGAATAATTATTTGGGGGCTTGTATGCCCGTGTTTGCCACGTGTGGCTCGGATATTTATATTAATGTTTCCGCTGCTTGAATTAAATGTTTTACATTATGATTGTTTACGGATGTACTATTGTGATTGATATTCAAGACGCCTAGTATAGTATGGATGAGTTGGACTGCGGTTGACTATTCGTACTGTACGGCGGGTTGTTGACGTGTCCGGTAGGTCCGGGGCGTGACAATTTAATTGGTATCAGAGCCTTAGTCCGTAAACTTCATAATGAAGCTTCAAAATTCCTTTTTGAAAATGATTTTGAAAACCATGAGCATAAAGTTTTGTACTTAGAGAACTTTTGGTACTTAAGTTGCAAGGTCTCTAATTGTTAAGATGGTACCCTTAACAATTGGTATGACGGTGATTTGAGCCAAAGGATGTCTTTAGGTGCCTATCCGTCATTCGACATTTGATACGGGTCTAATGACTCATTCTCAATTGCTTTCAGAGATGGAACGTACCGAGGAGGTAACTAGGAGGAACCCGACTGGCCGTGTACCGGGTGGGTCCGAACGCGGCAGCCGGGGGTCCACAAGAGTGTCCAGGGGACAGGGCTGTGCAGGCCACTCACTGACCGTGAACGACGGTCATGTGGAAACGATTGATGAGCAGTATGAGTCCGAAGAGGACTTAACTTATCGGCCGGAAACTGAGCCGGTAGAGACCCCTTATGAAGGGGAGGATGATGACGTTAGTGACGAGGAGGAGAATGACTCCTTGGCAAGAATTGAGGCGCTGCTCCAACAATACCACCGAGAGCGGGAGGAGAGGAGACAACGCCGAAGGCGCCGAGCGGGGCAACCTTCGGGCATGGCTTCAAGAAGAGGAAGTCATGGTACTTCTAGAGTTCATGTTGAACCACATGGAGGCCAATTTGATGGAGGTCCAACCATCAGGATCTCCAAATTCATCAAAGAAGCGAGAGATTTGGGATGTAAATCGTTTGATGGAACGGGAGACATCTCCGTTGCGGCCGAATGGATCAAAAGATTCAACGAAGCGGCCCTTGACATGCAGCTGCCACCACACATGAAGATGAGAGTGGCAACAAGATTGCTTGAAGGCATGGCATCCACGTGGTGGGATGGAGTTAAAGGAAAATACGGCGAGGCCGTCACTTGGGAGAATTTTCGGCAAGAGTTCTTCAGCCAATACTACTCCGACTTCGAGGTGAATATGAAGAGGAGAGAGTATACAAACTTGACCCAAGGGGGCGCATGCACGGTGAAGGAACTTGAGCACAAGTTCAGAAAGCTTGCCGAATTCATACCTGAGTACATATGTGACGAGAACCGGATGGTGAACCACTTTTGGGATGCTCTAGACTTGGAGATACGTGAGAGGGCAACACAATTGCCTGACATGACTTTCGCCCAAGTGGTTGACCAGGGCCTCAAGGGAGAAAAACAGTGGGAGGAAAGGAAGAAGAGAAACGCCGAGGAGGCGAAGAGAAGGAAATGGGAAAGCCATGACACCCAAGGTTCTAGCAAAAGGGGAACCACGGGGGAGGAGAATCATTTATGACATCCGCAACACCATCTCGAGGAAACTCAAGCATGGGAGGACAACACTCGGGGTCATACGCCTCGACGATGCCAAGGTGTCGCAACTGCAAGAAGAACCACACGGGCACGTGTCGCGATCCCCCTAAATGCTATCAATGTGGGGAGGCAGGACACATGAAAATGGATTGCCCTCAAATTGGTAAAAACCGGGGATCGAGACTGAGTGGTGCAACCACGGCTAGTAGGAACCGGGATAGGGCACCTCATGCAAGCATAGGACATGGTGGAGCTAGCACAAGCAACGCACCATCGATGAACCAAGGAAGGACCCAGGCTAGGGTCTACGCAATGACGGAGGCGGATGCTCAAGCTAACCCGGATTCCGTTGCAGGTATTACCTTTTGTATACTTATGTTTTACCCTTGATTAGTCCATAAATTGAGGTTGCTAGTCGTTGGGATCATTGCACGAAGCTTTGGGGTCAAACGGAGCGAAATCGGGCGAAAGACGGCTGATTTCCGCCAACGCACACCAGGCTGGACCATACGCACGGCCGTGCGTTGTCCGTGCGTTGGTCCGTGCGTTGGTGGCAGTAGCAACCCGGGAAGAAATTGCTATACGCACGGCCGTGCGTTGTCCGTGCGTTGGTCCGTGCGTTGGTGGCAGTAGCAACCGGGAAGAAATTGCTATACGCACGGACGTGCGTTGTCCGTGCGTTGGTCCGTGCGTTGGTGGCAGTAGCTCCGTTTTGAGGTTATAAGACACGCACGCCGTGCGTACCTCCTAGGCACGCCGTGCGTACCTCCTGGGCAGCCCAAAGTCGACTTTTTCGCGCCGTATTGCAACGTTAAGACCTTTTCTTGATCCCTAACATGCGTGTGAACATTGTAACCTTCTATAAATGAGTAGGGAGGGTAGGAAAAAATGTCTTACATGGTTCATGAATGTAGGGACGCTAAAGATTAATGGGAAGGATGCGCGAATCCTTACCGATACCGGGGCGCAACGTTCATTTGTGAATGAAGCGTTCGCCAAGAGGTTGGGGGTGCAATCCGCACCATTGATGCAAACCTTAGTGGTATCAACACCACTAGGAGATGACGTGGAAAGAACTTGTTATTATCCATCTTGTGGGGTGGAGGTTAATGGTCAAACCTTGACGTGTGACTTCGTACCGCTGGGCATGATTGAATTCGATGCAATCCTAGGGATGGATTGGCTAGAAAGGAACCATGCTAGGGTAGATTGCTACACGAAGGTTCTTGAACTCGAAGGCAATGATGGGGAGACCCTACGCTTCGAGGGCGATCGAGGGAGATCAAATAGCTGTATCATATCCGCCGTGAGAGCGATAAGTATGATGAGAAAGGGATGTCACGCATATCTAGCATACGTGGTTGACAAAACCAAAGAGGAAACGAACGTCGATGATGTGAGGGTGGTTTGTAAGTATCCGGATGTCTTCCCTAAAGACCTACCGGGGCTGCCACCTGACAGGGAGATTGAATTTGTGATCGAGGTCGAGCCTGGTACCAAACCAATCTCCATACCGCCATACCGTATGGCACCCGCTGAACTTAACGAGTTGAAAACCCAATTGCAAGAGCTTTTGGATAACGGTTTCATTAGACCAAGCCACTCCCCGTGGGGAGCACCAGTTCTTTTTGTGAAAAAGAAAGATGGGACACTTCGAATGTGTATTGACTATCGTCAACTGAACAAGGTCACAATCAAGAATAGGTATCCTTTGCCTAGAATTGATGACTTGTTTGACCAACTACGAGGGGCAACCGTGTTTTCGAAGATTGACTTGAGGTCGGGGTACCATCAATTGAAGATTAAGGAAGATGACATACCAAAGAGTGCTTTCCGCACAAGGTATGGGCATTTTGAATTCCTTGTTATGTCGTTTGGGCTAACAAACGCCCCGGCGGCATTCATGGACTTGATGAACCGAGTATTTCATAAATACTTGGACCGATTCGTGATTGTGTTCATAGATGACATCTTGATTTACTCAAAGAGTGAAGAAGAGCATGAAGAGCACTTGATACTTGTTCTTGAGACACTACGGGAGAAGCAACTTTATGCCAAATTTTCTAAATGTGAATTTTGGCTAAAGGAAATCGGCCTTCTCGGGCACGTGGTTTCGGGATCGGGAATTGCTGTTGATAACAAGAAGATAGAAGCCATTACCGAATGGGAGAGACCAAAGAACGTCAAGGAAATTCGTGGTTCCCTTGGGTTAGCAGGCTACTACAGGAAGTTCGTGGAGAAACTCTCCGTTTTGGCATCACCATTGACAAAGCTCACTCTTAAAGGAGCTAAGTTTGTATGGGATGACAAATATGAGAAGGAGTTCATTGAACTAAAGGAGAGATTGATCGAGGCACCGGTACTTGCATTACCCAAACAGGGTATGGGGTACGATGTCTATTGTGACGCGAGCATCCAAGGGCTTGGATGGGTGTTGATGCAGGAGGGGAGGGTAAATACCTATGCTTCACGACAGTTGAAGAAGCAGGAGGTGAATTACCCTACCCATGATCTAGAGCTGGGAGCAGTGGTGTTTGCACTGAAAATTTGGAGACATTATCTCTACGGAGAGACATGTCACATATATACTAATCATAAGAACTTGAAGTATGTGTTTACTCAGAAAGAGTTAAAACATGAGACAGAGAGGGTGGATGGAGTTGATAAAGGACTACCATCTAGTTATTGAGTACCATCCAGGTAAGGCAAACATTGTAGCAGATGCCCTCAGTCGGAAGAGTTGTCTGGCGCATTGTCGACTTGTTTGAGGGCATTGAGGGGAACTACGCTGTGCAACCAATCAAGGTCACCAATAGAAAAGCGAAGAAACTGAGGAGCAAAGAGGTCCCAATGGTTAAAGTACTTTGGAAGAGCGATCAGGTCGAAGGGGAGACATGGGAAACAGAGGCTTTGATGAGGAAGCAGTATGCTTTCCTATTCGAGTAGAGCTGTGAATTTCGGGGACGAAATTCCTGTTAAGGGGGGGTGAACTTGTGACACCACACCCGAACGTCCTTGAAAACTTGATTTTAAAATTCAAAGTTTATGTATTGGATTTCTGATTCCCAAACGATTGTAAAACGATTAATGTTTTACGTAATTAATGATCGATTATTGTACTGTTCGAACTCGTATATAAGTATCGGGCCTTATTAATAAATAAAAGAGCCTAACATTATCTAAATATTAATACATAACGTTTCAAGACAAGTTGAGGAAGGGCGGGCGGCCCAGATATTATTTTGGGCTCAACCCGCTAGAATAGCAAGTATTCGAGAATGGCGTCGTAGGCCCACTCGGGGGCGACCCACACGGCTTGTAGCCTAATAATATGAATGGCAAATGTCAAAATAAGTGATAGGATGATTTGAGAAGAATACAAATGCCTATAACCCCATCTTTGGCATTATTGAGCTAAATAATGGGAGTAGGGTTTTTCTTCTATAATATTCATCATGAAAATTATTGGGATGATCATACACATATTGGAGATCAATAATATGATGTAGAGAGTTGACTTGTTCCAAATAAATTAGAATGAGTACAAAGAGACATCTTATGACAAAGAGATCAAAAGTGAGACCCACCCATGTCTAAAAACATCTCATGGAGACCATACCAATTCATTTCACTCCACACAACTTATCCACCCTTATTGAAGGGTCTTGGACACTCCCTTAAGCCCCTCATTCGAACTCCCAAGGATAAGGGAGAAAGAGAGAGCCACACAACCAAGAAAGCAAGAGGAAGGGGAAGCTGCCGCAGGTTCGTTTTCCAGTGCGTAAGGTTACTTGTTTGCTTCATATCTCGAGTTATACACATCCAAATAAGGCGTGCGAGATACCCACAGAAAGCTCTCAAGACGAGGAATCCGTGAAGGTCTGGTTTGCATCAATCGGAGTAGTGGAAGGCTTTCAAATCGTCCGAGCAAAACACAACCTCGCGGAATACGTTTTTGTATTCAAAGTAAGTTTGAATCCAAAACCTTCCTCTCTATTGTCTAAACCATATAAATGATTGAAGAACTATTATACACTGATTGAAGTGTATAAAATGTTATTATAAAGTGACTTTAATTGTTGGAAAAGTTAGATACTAATCTAGACAAAACCTTGGAAGGTTAGGGAACGATTTCGTCGGGAAACACCCGTTCTAGGGACTGTTTTTGTGTCTTCGGTTAGGAGTTGAACTAGCACTTTGAAGAGGCTGTTTAACACTCAATTCCAAGCAAGGAATCAGTCCTCAATCTTTCTTGGCCGAGGCTTTGGTCATTGGATCGAGAAGGAAAGATTTAAAGCTCATTTGAGGTGAGGATGGCTGACTATATTGCTTATAATTTTTGGGTCAATTTCGTAAGATTACCTAAAGTATCTAAATGTGATTTTCATGGATTGTTAATGATTAATAATGCCTAAATGGGAATACCATTGCTTATGAGTAATTGAGGTATAATATGCAAATTGCGAATGAATTGAGTATGGATATGTGATTATAAGTATGATGGCATGATAGTTGAGTGAACTATGAATATGGTGATAAAATATACCTTGTTTCATGTAAGAATTCATGAACGGGTAAAAGTGATATTTTTATATTGGGAAGTGATTATATTTGAATTGGAAGATAAATTGAAATACACGGTGTGTCTATGGATTGAGAACTTGGTTGTTCTAAATTTATTCAACTAGTATTGAAATACTAGCCGAGATGTTAATATGAGAAACAATAGATTAACCCAATGAATTGGGTTGTGAGAAATTATACCTTGAGTAGTCCTAAGAGATACTTTAAGGTCGAGATGTGAAAGTTCTAGGTATAATAGGAGTAGGCCCCAAAGGCTACTCAATCTAAACCGATTCTAGGCATAGGAATTGCTTAGGGGTTGATTAACGTGACTAAGAGCGGGGCTCTAGCATGTTGAAATGGTAACTAAGAGCGGGGCTCTAGCACAATGTAGATGGACTAAGAGCGGGGCTCTAGCCGATGTAAGTCAACTAAGAGCGGGGCTCTAGAAAAATGTAGATGGACTAAGAGCGGGGCTCTAGCCAATGTAAATTAACTAAGAGCGGGGCTCTAGTATAGTGTAAATGGACTAAGAGCGGGGCTCTAGCCAATGTAGACAAATTAGGAGCGGGGCTCTAATATGATGTAGGGAGACTAGGAGCAAGGCTCTAGCACAATGTAGGGAGATTAAGAGCATGGCTCTAGCATGATATAGTAATATAACCGAGCGAGGTTCTGTGATGTTTATTTTACGTAATAGGGAAATGCCCTATGACTATGAATACAAATTTACAGGAGGTTTATGACATTCGTGACCAATAGTCACGGGGGAAAAGGGGGATGGACTTTCAAAACACATATGGGCCTACGGGCCGACTACTTGACTATACATACAAAGTAAGTATATTTCCAAAGAGGGTAACCAAGGGTTATGGCCTATGATATAATATCACTCTATTTGAGGGTCTTGGAAATTGAAACATTGATTATACTTAGTATAGTTGTCATTGTACTTGTCAAATGCTTCCAAGTACTGACCTCCCCTTCACGGGGGAGGCCACCTCACAGTTTCAGGTAGAACTTGAAGGGTGCTACCATTGCCCGTTGCTCGGGAGATCCAAGGAGAGGAGACGTGGTTCGTGTTTCCTCCATATCCGTTTTAAAAACAATTATATTTAATGCTCATGGATACTATTTTCTGAATAATTATTTGGGGGCTTGTATGCCCGTGTTTGCCACGTGTGGCTCGGATATTTATATTAATGTTTCCGCTGCTTGAATTAAATGTTTTACATTATGATTGTTTACGGATGTACTATTGTGATTGATATTCAAGACGCCTAGTATAGTATGGATGAGTTGGACTGCGGTTGACTATTCGTACTGTACGGCGGGTTGTTGACGTGTCCGGTAGGTCCGGGGCGTGACAATTTAGCAAAGAGTAGACATGATGTACAATTAAGCTAAACCGCCGCGGCACATTTGTGCTTTGACGTATACTTGAAGTACGTGGAGGACTAAAGCTAATTTTTCAATAGCCTCCAAGTTCATTAATTATGGTTTAGTTTTCCTTGTCATGTTGGCACGAGAACGCCATTTCTTTCGAAAGATACCCAAGTCTCATCTTACGCTTTTTGACCGGAGCTCCCATTTTTTTTCGCAAAGTAAGAGGTCTAGCTATATTAATTTTTCACCTTTCGGATTCTCACTAGACATTACCCCATTCTAATCTCGGCCTCACCAAGGAAAAATAGCAATTAAGGTTCATTTATTTAAAAGTGAATCCATGCCTACAATGCAATCCTCGAAAGTATCAAATTCCTAAAAAGTGACTGCTCTTACCCCATTTGGGACATAGGAACAATGCCAAAAATGGCTCCTACACAAATTCCCTAAACTTAACAAATTACTCCCTTAATTCCCTAAACATCAAGACTAAGTCAGAAAAATTCACGGGTAAGGAAACAGGCCATTTGGCTATGGAGCTTAATTAATTGGGTAACAAAGAACGGTCAGGCTCAAAATGGCCTTCTCCTAAAGGGTTCTTTCAGGTGGAGTGGATGATTAATAGATTAATTCAATGGGTGACTAATGCCTTCATCCTTTCAACAACTAGATTATAGTGCAAGCAATTTAAGCCTAAACACTTCAAAGATGTTCTAAAAGCATAGTCAAAACGCTAGCCAGCTCACAAAGACACAGTTTAAAGAAAAATTTTCAAAAATTTTGCATGAATTTCCTATGAATATACAACTAAAACATGCGCATGCTAACTCTAATAAATCTCATGTAACAACCACTGCCCGAATGCCCAATTCACTCCCCCACACTTAAACTTTGGCATCGTCCTCGATGACCAATTATGCATTATGTACTAGGGGTAAAGAGGAAAGGGTCACGCGTGCTCAACTTAACTCAAGTCAATATTTCAACAAGCGAGTGAAAGAGTCAAAGAAACTTCCCTATAGCGCTGGTCGGTGCAGAACTAAATTGAGTCAATGATCCTCGGCACATCATCCCTAAAACAAGACCCCTGAGCTGCAACAAAAACACAAAGCAAAACAACCAAACAACAAACAAAGGAAAAATAAAAGTAGAAATAAGCTCGGGTTGCCTCCCGAGAAGCGCTATTTTTAACGTCGTGTGCCCGACGCAACCACCTCATCAAAAACTCAATCAAAGACACTCCCACTCAGAAAATTAGTCTTCCACAAATCAAACCTCCTATCAACAAATGCCCTGAGATGGCGTAAGACCTTAAATTCATGAAAACAATTGCACATCTCAGGGTTTTCTGTACAGCAAAATAATGAGTCTAGGCCTTTATCAGGCCCCTTAGCAAAGAATGGGTCTAAGAATGAATCACTCCCTTTCATGTCAGAAATTTTCCGGGCTGGAGCTTCCTTTTGTTCACTAAGAAATTGAAAATGTGCTGTATTTTGGGATGGCTCATGCCCGGATGCAAAACTAACAGGGAGGTTAAGTCTGTCATGAATAAAATTACCCTCATTTAAATTACCTCTCGTCTCTTGCTCAGAACTAGCATCACTTGAATCCTCCCCTCCACTTATCATAAGACAATCAAAGCTAGGGAGGGGCTCAAGATCCTCTGCTGATATACTCTCTTCCAACAAAATATCAAACGGGGCTTCCTTGGAAAGCATGTTAGGTGTGCAATCCTCCACCAAAGAATCAATATCATCCACATAAAAACACTCTCCACTGTCCTGACAGGGCCTCTTCATTATTTTGGACATATCAAAGGTGGCAGTCTCATCCCCAACACGGAGGACAAGCTTACCGTCTCCAACATCAATAAGCGCTCGGGCAGTTGCCAAGAATGGTCTGCCCAAAATTAAAGGTACCTCACGATCCTGATTCATGTCCAAAATAACGAAGTCTACAGGAATAATAAACTTGTCCACTTTAACCAACACATCTTCAATAATACCTTTAGGATATTTGACTGAACGGTCAGCCAACTGAATACACATACGCGTCGGTTTAAGTGGACCGAGTGCAAGCTTCTCATATAAGGAATATGACATCAAATTAATGTTTGCACCCAAATCAGCTAAGGCCCTATCAAAAGTAAGATCTCCTATTAAACAAGGTATAGTGAAAGAACCTGGATCCTTAAGCTTCTCTGGTAGATCCCTCCTAATCACTGCTGAACAGTCCACGTTAAGCCTTACCGTTGACGCGTCTTCCAACTTCCTTTTGTTAGTGAGTAAATCCTTCATGAACTTGGCATACTTCGGCATCTGTGCTAGTGCATCCACGAATGGAATGTTGAGCTGGACTTGTTTCATGAGTTTCAGAAAATGACCAAACTGGTCACTATCATTCTTCCTAGTCAATCGCGCCGGATAGGGGAGAGGAGGGGTGTAATTTTTGACGGGAACGGGCTGTTTTGGTGCAACTGCCACCTCTCTCTCCTCTTCCTTCTCTTTTTCTTCCTCCCGGGCAGCAGGTACATCTTTAACTTCCTCAGACTTCTTTGTCGTGGCAGCAGGTTCTAATTCTTTTCCACTCCTTAAGGTGACTGCATGAACATGTTCTCTTGGGTTTGGCTCGGTATTGCTAGGGAGGGATCCCAGAGGCCTCTCAGATAAAGCCCTTGAGATCTGCCCCAATTGAGTCTCCATGTTCTGCATCCTTGAGTCAGCCTGCTGCATCCTCAAATCTGCTTGTTGTTGAGATTGCATTTGTTGCTGCTGAATTTGCAGCAACTTCTTGAGTGTTTCCTCTATGCCAGAAAATCTTTGTTCTGTTTCTCTTTGAAAACTCTCTTGCACTGGCTGAGATGCTTGATGTTGATTATAGTTCCTAGATTGCTGCTGAATTCCTTGCCCGTAATTTCCTTGCTGCTGCTGTCCGTAGGGCTGATTTTGGTAGCCCTGTCGCTGGTAATACATCGCGTCAACTTGCTCTACTCCAGGGGCTGCCAAGTGTGTCATCATAGTGCATTCATGAGGCGAATGGAGACCCCCACAAATGGTACAAGAGGGACTAATAGGACCGGGGGCTACCATATTAACACTAGGCACCGATAGAGCAAGATTCGTCTTCTTTTGATTATCCTCCACACTAGTAGCAAGCTTCTGAATCATGCTAGTCAAAGCATCTACCCTCGCAGAAAGGGCAGAATTATCACTGATCTCGTACAATCCCGGGGCCTTCTGGTGAGGTGTGTCCCGAGAGCCATACCATGAAGCATTATTAGAAACTATCTTCTCCACTAGTTCTTCTGCCACCTCTGATGGCAACTGAGGAAAAGCTCCTCCACCCGAAGCATCAAGCATCATCTTCCCTTCATCGCTGATTCCGCTGTAGAAACAAGATAGAATCTCACTATCAGTCATCTTGCCTTGAGGGCAAGCTCTTCTTAGAACTTTGAATCTCTTCCATGCCTCAGCCAATGTCTCCAAAGAACCTTGCTTGAAATCCTGCAGCTGCCTCTTCAACTTTATTGCCTTTGATGTCGGAAAATATTCCTTGATGAAGGACTTGTGCAACTGATCCCATGTCTGAATATGGTGATGTGGATTGCTATCCAACCACCTCTGCGCATCGTCCCTCAATGAGAAAGGGAACAATAGCATCCGTACCTGATCATCATCTAGCCCGGGGATCTTAAAAGTTTGGCACATCCTCAAGAATTTTGTAATGTGTGCCACTGGATCTTCTATAGGGCTCCCTCCAAACTGATTATTGGACACCATGTTGATCACCGCTGGGTTGATCTCATAGCGAGGTGCAGTAATTCCTTGCACTTGGATGCTGTCATACTCTGTGATGTCCGGAGTGAGGAAATCTGCAATGGTCTCTCCTTGATAAAGCGGGTTGTTATGTGGGACATAGTTTTGGAATGGAGGAGCCTGCTGTCTGGGCTGATAAACTAGCGGTGGTCTAATGGGTTGTGGATGGATTATGTTTGGCTGTGGTTGGGGCTGAACTTGGGGCTGGTGGTATTGCTGATATTGATTCTGGAAGGGTTGATTTTGTGGTTGGGTAAGGGGTGGATTTTGAGTGATTGGTGGGTTCTGTCTGGTTTGAAAGACTGGAATGTTTTGCCCAATACCTTGCATCCCAAAGGTTTGGTTTTGAAAAGTGGTTTCGGGGGCAATAGAAGTATTTTGGAAGAGCTGATAGAGTGGTGGAAGATTTAGTTGTGGAGTGGACTGATTTTGGGGGAAGAATGGGGTACGGAGATTTTGATACCCCGGATAAGCTCTAGGTGAATTTTCTTGTGAATACTGGGGAGAGGTATTGACATAAAAATCAAGGTTACCAGAAGTGGTTTGGACCTCAGACGTCCCAGCGATTCCAGATGATGTAGTTTCCATGGTTGCGTTCTTTTCAAGAAAAACCTTGCGGTTCTGTCTAGCAAACTTCTCAATCTCAGGATTAAGAGGGACAAGTGATTCTCCCTTCTTTGAACGTGTATGCTTTGAACGTGTATGCATAAACAGATCTGACCTGCAAGGTTAGCAGACAAAAATCCTACGAAAAACTAAAAACAAGTCGCTAAAATTAATTAACCCTTAAATCCGACACCGTCCCCGGCAACGGCGCCAAAAACTGATGTGAGTTTTCTCGCACTTGAAATAGTTGTAGAAAAGTGGTGTAAAGTACGAGTATCGTCTCCACAGGGACGGACAAAAGGGAATTAAAGATTAACTAAATTCAGCGATTAAACAGAAATAAATAAATTAAAATGCGATGTGCGAGATTGATTGATTGAATTAAAATTAAAACTAATGCTAATGAGCGATAAAAATAAAAGATTGGTTTCTTCTCAATTAACGACGAAGGGAACAGGGATTGATTCTGGGGTAACCAGATTTCTGACAGATCAGGCCTAATTACATGAATTTAATTTAATTGAGCCTAGCTAATCATTACTAAGTTCTTACCGCTCTCGCGGCGTAGAGTACAATAATTTAGGGGACCAGGCTGATCTCTCATGCGACAGGATCCTAAATTATTGCCAAGACGAGCGAGCTTACGGCCCCTTAATCGCTACTAATCTCTTAGCGAACG